AAACCATTTCTTTTTGCATCGGTTAGTTCTCGGAGGAGAGGGGAAGATGTTCGGCTATCCGACTAACCGGGGTCGGAAACCAGCGGTTAACCGGCTAACCGGCTTAGCACGGGAACAAGAATGACAAACTGTGCTAGGAGATCGAGAAAAAGAGACAACATGGCAGAGCATCTCCATCTTCGAGGGTGAGGGATGACCGAGCCAAGCGTGGAGAAGACCTTCAGTGGGAACACCAGTCTTGACGGTCGGGTGAGCTCGAGCCTGTAGACATCCAAACAATCGGATATAATAGAGACCCTCATGTATCTCCCCATTTCCAATCACGTTCTTCGAGTCTAAGTCACGTATGACGCAGAAATCACCCATAAAGATTAATGCCACACGATGTTCCTGACATAAATGGTTGACTGACAATAAGTTACGACGAAACTCAGGAACATGAAGAACTCGTTTCAGACTGTGGCCCGTATCAAACTTAACAGAACCAATGCGTGAAACCGAAATACTGGAGCCATTCGGGATCCGAACAGGCTGACTGTGAAGATTAGACTCATAAGAAGAAAAAATAGATTCACTCATGGCAATATGTTCGTTGTAGCTAGAGTCTATCAGCCACTCAAAATCAACAGAGGAAGAAAACATACCAGCCATGTTGCTAACGGGGTCGGAGGGACTGGCGAAAGAATGCCCAAAAAATTGTTTTAATTGCTCAAGCTGCTGCATAGTGAACCCGGAAACCGGGCTAGGTGTGGCCTCGGCCTGGGAAGCCCGCGGCTCACGAGGACGACTGCCAGCACGGTCGCGCTCTCGGCGACAAGCACCACGATCCGCTGACTTGTCGTGCGGTGGGTAACCTATAAGCTCATAACAGGTCTCTCGTGTACATAGGCGCTGGGCCGTGCTTGGGCCGGCACGACATAGGCAAACTTCGAGCCCATTTATTTCGTGTCGTGCTTGGCACAGCCAGTCAGTTTTCGTGCCATGCCATGCAAGCCCATTTGTAAACTTTGCTAGGCCCGGCCCAGGCCCGGGCACGGTTCGAATCGGGTCGTGCCTATTCGTGCTCGTGTCGTGCTCGTATTCGTGTTTAATGAAAAGGATGAAAACAAAAGAGAGAATGAAAAAGAAGGTGAAAATTGGACGAAGGAAGATAGTATTAACCGATAATATTTGAGAAAAGTAACAAATAAGGGGGAAAAGAAAATTGGAAGTATAACGAGTGTGAATTGGTTTTGTTTAATTCTTTGTCCATTTTTACTTATGTTAGTAATTACGTATATAACTTTATGACACTTCTAACAACAACAAATAATTATTTTTCTACTTGGGTTTTGTAATATTTGAACCTATAATTCTTTTTATATTTATTTTCTTGCCATGTCCATTCTTATACTCAATAAAGTCTCGAAAATATTAGGCCAGACACGACCTACTTATATACCGTGTTGTGCCCGTGCTCGTGCACGTGAAGTTTAGGCCCGACACGACCCATAAATTATTAGTTCTTGTGCCGGGGTGGCCCATTTATTTCATGCCCGTGCTCGTGTCGTGCTCTGGAGGCACGACCCCGTGCCCACGTACAGTCTCTCGCATATGGCCGACCTTTTGGCAGTGAGAACAGACAATGCGCTCTCAATCACCTAAGGAGCAATCGCGGGACCCAGCAGCTGAGTCGCTGCCGGAACGGCGATCACCACATTTATCTCCACGCGAGTCAGGGCGCCGGTCTCCTCGCTGCATCGAACCAAATCGATCAGCGTCACCGCGAATGGCGAAAGCAGCAACCTCGGGTGCAATTTTCCGATTTTGAGTCAGCGAGCGTTGTTGCTTGTCGTTGTAGACGATACGGAAGGCATCCGAGAGTGTAGGAACGGGAGTCATGGACAAGATTTGACTCCGAACATGGCGAAAGAATCATCTAAGCCAAGGAGAAAGTCTAGCAGACATAAGCTCTCATTCTGATCTTTCCCGCGATGCCCGCACGAGCACAAGGGCGGTGGCAGATTAGTCTGAGTTTCTTCCCAGATTTTGCGAAGGCTCGTGTAAAAACTAAAGACCGTTTGTTTTTCTTGTTGAAGAAGGCTAACATGGCGGCGCAACTCATAAAAGCGCGTGAGGTTGCCTTTGCTGAACCGGTCACGGAGTTCTTCTCATACCTTCTGCGTCGTTTTGGTGCGCATAACGCTGCTCCTGATTTCAGCATCCATGGCTGTCCGCAGAGCCAACCGCGAGACGGGGATTTTATCCGTCGACAAAACCAAGCTTGTGCTTGGTCACAAGCGCATCGGTCATCTCCAAAGCCCATTCTCCATAATTGGTGGGTGTCAGGGGACTGCTGACATGAAGATGACCGGTACTATCAGATTGATGGATAAAAAGAGGACCGAGGGCATCAATATGAAGCTCGCCGAAACCGCCAGAGCCACCAGTGGCAGATTGCGACGATTTGTTGCCAGTGAGAAGCGTCGAGTCGTCACCAGCCATTATGATAACCTGCGATCGAGCTTCACAGCTTTGATACCATGAGAAAAAAAAAAGAAACTTAGTGCGGAAAGGTAGAGACGAGAATGATTTACGTGGTATCCCCGTAAGTACGGAACTAGTCCACGGGAGAGGAAGCCTCTCCGATTTGTGTTCTTTTATTATTGATCGGTGACTTGGCCAATGGTCGTACACAAACCTATATACCCTTCTCGACTATCAATTAGGGTTACATTGGGTGTCAAAGTACAACCGCTAGCTACGGGCGGATGACTGGACTGGGTTGCACACGAGGAACGGGCCAAAACAATAGGCCGAGTGGGCCGAGTGTCCTCTGCTAAAATTGGCCCAGAATCTGAAACCTGTTCTCTCCGCCGGCTGCTTCCTGGCCGAGGGAAGCGATTCCGCCTGTTGAACAGCTCCGAGGGTTGGGTACGCTGATCTGGTCGATTCGGTAAGAGTAGCCTCTCTCCTGGCCAACCTCCGATCCATTCTCTACACTCCTGGAAAAGTTATCATGGCTTCCGCGAACCAGGCTGAGGAGACTGCAAAGATTTCTGACCTGAAGCTCTATCACCTGCGAGAACTTTCCCTTCCTCTGTGACATCAGCGGATTCAGGGGTGGCCACCCGGCCCACGGTCGAGCGGAGGTGGGAAGACGACACGAGAAGGGTGCGTCGGCGGCCAGGAGAGGTGGGAAAAGTAGGGTTTTAAGAGTTAAAGCGACCGTTATAAATTTTAAGGGCGACATTTAGCGATTCAGAAAAATTATATGATCATTATATTTTTTATGGTATCTAATTTTCTAATAAAATGCGGCCCAATGCTCTATTATGTTCTGGATCCGCCCTGCACTCCGGTACGGATGTTTAAATGGTTACCATGGTAATTATGAAACCAAATAAGTCTAAATTCTATTAATCATGGAATACAATGTCATAATCAAACCGTCCAAACTAATTCAACAACCAAATTAACCAAACTAAAGTTTAATCGGTTTGGTTAATTGGTTTGGTTAAGCGAGAAATTTTTTCTTTTAATGCCTCAATTCACAATTTATATAATGAATAAACCATAACAATCAACACATAGTTATAGTTAAATCTTAACCTAAATACATTCACCTAATAATTATCTTACTGACAATAGAAGTATTCACCTAGCAAAAATATATGCCAATGGTATGGGGTTAGTGAACTATTGTGTTTGTGTGAATTGATTTAGTCTCTTAGCAATTATCATAGGCTAAAAAGTACATTCCTTTCAAATTTTCATCCAACATAATGTATGAGTTTTGTCTAAATTAGGTGTTCATATGTTGTGGTCTACACTCTACAAATACAAATATATAGTATATGAACAATATTGAGCTTTATTTTTTTATGAGGCTAAAAGGAAGGAACGTTTTCCTCTTGAGTAGCTATGCGAAGCATTTAATATGCGTGTATAATATATATATAGGCCCGTCGAGTTTATCCACTAGCGTACGTCAGTCGTATATTGTAGGCCCGTCGAGTTTTACTATTTAGAGCAGGAATTAACCAAAATTTTGGGCATGATACTATACCCTAGCCTCTAATGGATAAACCTTAGTCCCTAATTCTCTAACCCAAGCCACGAGATTCATTTAATCCACAAAGTATCCGATGGTTCTGATTCAGTGAAATATATTTAAGTGCAAAAACCAAGTATGAACATGTACGCCTGACGTACGCTAGCCTTTACTATATATATATATATATAGACCATCCATATTGGAATTGCATCATCGGTTCATGAAATGAAATTCATTTGCAATTTCATCTTTGCAAGCTTCCATCTAATACAATTATGAGTTGCAAGCCACGCTATAATTAATTTTTTTTGTTTTATATTTTTAGAATTGTAGTAAGAAATCAATTGCAATTGCAAGTGAAATGTATTGATGTAATGTAACTAAAATAAAGTTAAAATGAGTTTGATTTTTTAAAAATTGTGAAATGACAATAAAAAACAACATTTTAAATTACGTTGTTGCGGATGCTCTTATTACTCCCCGAGCCAACGTGTCGGGCCTGGTGCTTGTAATAGGAGTAGGAGAAGGATGAGGAAAGTTGGGGTAATTGACATAAATGGTCATAGACCTTTACACTTTGTACAAAACAATCACAAACCTTTATTTTTGCACGATTCAATAATAAACGTTTGAGGGTATAACAAAACAGTCATTCTGTCCTTCTCCATCCAAATTTCTGTTAGTTTTGTACAGTCAGCACTCCACGTCACCAATAATAATAATAAAAAAATTCACCAAACCACTCAATTTAACCAAATGATCCAACCCTTTGGAGACGATTCAACCCACCCGAACTCTGTTACCCTCCCCGACTATAGATTCCCATCTCCATCACTCCTCAGCAAGTTCCACTTCCTGTTAAAATCAACAAAACTAATTTGTTGTTCAAACATGTGATTATTGTAGAGAAGCTGAGATGGATCAAAACATTTTGATTACTTCAAAATTAAAATCCAATCTCGCCATGGTGAAGAGCAGAATTCTATATGAGAAAATTACCTCGACAGCGAGATACTCGAGAACAGCAGCAAGGTGGATCGGAGATCCGTATGCAACCTTTCTTCAAGAATCAGACAATACGGTTGACGAGGAACTACAGCCCGGACATGGCGAGATTGGAAACGACCTTCTGATCGCCTCCACTTCTCCCGCCGGAGTTTCCGACGAACAGTGAGAAGAATCAACCCCCCGAAACTTGAAAAAGGTGAGAGGTTTTCGACAACAAAGATCTCTGCAAAAATAGTTAGTAAATTGGTTTTGGGGATTTTGGGGAATCTTTATGTTTTGGGGTCAAGAAGGAGAATGATTGGGCGATGATGCAGAGGAAGGTTTCAAAGGTTGGTATCATTGGTTGGTTGGTCTCCCTTTCTTCTCCGAAGTACAAGCAGGCCGCCTCGTCGAAGATTCCAAGCTGAGTGTTCAATTCATGGAGCTCGTGGTCGACGGCGAGTCGGCGATGAGTGACTTTAAGGGAGGTGGAGGGTTTTATTTTCTGAAATTGGGGCACGCTCTATAGAGTCGGGTGGGTTGGGCCGTTGGGTTGGGTGGTTTGATTTAAGTTCAATTTTTTATTAATATTTTTGATGATGTGGAGTGTTGATTGGACAAAACTAACAGAACTTTGGATGGAGAAGGACGGAATGACTATTTTGTTATACAGTCAACCGTTTATTATCGAATCGTGCAAAAATAAAGGTTTGTGATCGTTTTGTACAAAGTGTAAAGATTTGTGACCGTTTATGCTAATTACCCAGGAAAGTTGGGGAGGTGTTTAGCGACTTTCGAAAGAACATAATTAATGGAATAGTTGGTGGTGACCATGGATCGAACGTGACTAATTTAAGTTCAGTGATTTGAGTAAAAAGGTGGGTTGATTCAAGGGCTAGTTAGATTAATTTCATCCAAGTCATTTAAATAATTTTATTAATTTACATATGTTTCATGAATAATACATGTTTCTAACAAATAAATTCAAATTATTTTTGAAGCAAATGCGATTTTATAAGACAAGGACTGAAGATCAATTCTTGCACATAACTGTCAACTAGGAAAAACGAGAATGAAAGTGAGCAAGATAGACATAGTGTTATCTTCGATAAATCAAGACTAATTCATGCGAGAGAGAATTAAGCCTCGATCTCCAGCTACCGATCTTATTGATGTATGACTTAACTAGCCAATTGTTTCCGAGAAACCAAATATCCATCGCCGGTGCTGAATTTGTTTCCGGCGATGTTGATTTGATATTTCGCGATGGAAACTCTTGCGGTGCCGTTGGATCGGACGCACCGTTGAATGTTGAAATCAACGTGACCGTCAAAATCCATCGCTGGGCGTCGGGCGATGTTGATTTGATCGATGCACCTCTGAATGGTGAAATCAACGTGACCGTCAAATATCCACCGCCGAGCGATGTTGATTTGATCGATGCGCCTCTGAATGGTGAAATCAACGTGACCGTCAAATATCCACCCTCGAGCGATGTTGATCTGGTCGATGCACCTTGTAGACACCCCATTTTGTCCGAGTCAATTATCCAACTAAAAAGTTTAAACGTAAACCTTGAGATGTGAGATAATTAGATTGACCATTGCAAATCTAAAATATCCACGTTTGTACATTTTTTTGAGTTTGAATCTAATGGATCGAGCTTTCCCTTTTAGAAAACGAAAGGAGTACCGTTACTTCTACAATAGTAGGGGAATAACGAGAAACTTTCCAACCAAGTTGAACTCAAATCCGAGGTTGATTTGAGGTATTTGGCTAGCTCGAAAGAGCTATAAACGGATACAACTTGGGAGCCAATTCCTATAAACTCCTTACCCATCATATTGTCTGTTTAGAAGCCACCCTAAATTTTCCAAAACAAATTCTCAAGCCACCTTGAATCTCATCGTTACACCTCCCATGAGCACTAGATTTGCATAATAGAATTATTTTTTTTTTTGTCGATTTACATGTATTTTTGTGTATGATGCAGTGATTTGTGCTTTATCAATTGCTCCTAATATTATTATCTGATTAGTACATAATAAAAAATTCCAAAATTCATGACATTTTCATTCTCGCATTCAAAAATTTTTATTTAAATAACAAGCATATGCATCTATTAAAATCATCTTTGCATTTATGCATCTTAGTCATTTTGCATAAGCATAACATATACGTCTCATTAGTCAACCAAACGAATTTGAGAATTGGCAAGGGTTCTTTAAAATTGCTCATCCACAAAGTAAAAGTCAACTCTTAAGTACCAGATCCGAGGTTGTGCTCTTTATTGAAGTCATTCGAGAAGAAATTGAGCGACATCAAAAGAATGCTCACAGTACTAGAAGAAATAAAAGAGCAAAGCCAACATGTTCTTGCATATTTAGATGAAGAAACAAGTTGTCCAAACGTCATCTACAACCCATTACCCAATCATCAAAACCAGAATGCAAGCCACAGACCAAAACTTGATTCATGATTGATGCCACTTTGCCATGATGAGAGTTGTACCACATTTTTATTCATCGTGAGAATAAAAGGATCGTTCACATTTATATTTATTTGGAACATTTTGTGACTTCTATCAATCTCGATTTAGGAGGTTTGGATCCAATGTTTTTTTTCAAACGATTGAAAAATCAACTTATTTTCTCTTTAAAATCAAAATTTTATTTCATGTTTAAAAGTTAAGCCATGAGATTACCATATTAAGAAAATGTGAGCACCCCACTGGTGTCAAACAATTGTAAGCACCCCTAGTGGTGTCGAGAATGAGAGCACTTCACTATAGTTGAGAGTATAAACACCCCACTAGTGTGTACAAATTGTGAGAGTCAATAGTCAAAGGGTGTAACGAGGCTACGACATCAAGCTACTTGAAGAATCTCGCCACTATCATAGCCAACGTTTGCTAGCAAGTTTAGAGTCAACTAGACAAAAGACAAACAAGAAAAGCATTCGAAGGGTACAACGACTATACGGCATTATAAACGTGGTTCTTTGAGAAAGACGTACTCGATCATTCTACCCAACAAAAAGAGCATTCACATCATCAAGACAAAAACTCTTGACATACTCATGCTCTAAAACACAACCAAAACAAAGAAGAGCATACATGGGGGCATAACCAAGTCAAGTAATCCCCACACAAAAAAAAAAACATGCAAAAACTAAGCCAAAAAAGGAAAATCAAAAGAAAATCAAAGAAAAAAATAAAAATAAAATATATTGTGGGGTTTACAAATTGGATGCCCCTTGTCAACATTTGATTCGTGATCATTAACGACAAGTCAAGATGTTTGTCGACCATTCTCAAGAAATCCTGAGCAACAACTTCCATGATAAAAGGTTTTTGCAGCCAAAACTGCATCAAATGAGGATCTTCGTTATTCATCATTTCAAGAGGAACTTTCCATATCCAAGTTTGTATTCACAAATACCTCATTTATTCACTACCTGGCCCTGCTTCTTAAAACCAAAATGTCAAAAACAGGTGGCAAAGCCAGCTAGAGAAACATTCCCCAAATATGCCAAAATACACCATTCTTTTTTAAACTGGACTTGCTCAACAAAGAAATCTAACCAACGCGACCGTTACTGCGGTTCGCACCTCTCCAAACTACGTTTGAACGAGGGTGTTTGAGTTTTTGGGAATCTACTTTAAAACTACTCCTATGGAGATTCCTGTGGAGAGCTCCGCGACTACAACTACTTCTACCAACTATGGAGATCCTTCCTAGAAGGAGAGCTCCGCGAAGGAGTTACAGAGAAAAGGTAAAGTTTGACATATGTGTTTTCTGACTTTCTGTGTTGATTTTTGGTTCCTTCTCTCTCCTCGCTCCGGTGATTTTATCTGAAATCACTTGCGTAGTCTTCACGCCCCGTGGAACTGCTTCCTCAACCGCTCCGTTGTGAACTCCCACGTGTCTTCACTCTTCTCCACAGAGTTGTAGTCTTCAACCACTTTGATCTTCACTTCACTTCCGAATCTCACGTGCAAGAAAATAACTCCGTTATTTCAATGAGCCTGCGACGACGTTTACACCTCCACCAACAAAGTTTCCATAACGACGTCCTTGAGCTCGCGACGACGTTCACGGTATTGCTCAGCTTGCAACACCGTCAAGCTCACTCCGTCGTTGAGCTCCACGATGTTGTTTTGGCCTTGCGGCATCGTTGAATTTCTGGCATTGTCGAACTCGCAACACCGCTGAATTTGCGACCGTGACATTGATTCCGCTGCATTGTTATTTAACTAGCGGCATTTTTAGCCTTGCGACACCGCATTAATTTAATATTTCACGTACCGCAGCATTGTCGGCTTACATGCGGTGTGGTTTTCTTCCCCAAACAGCTATGTTTGCTTTTTCACTCCACGACATTGTTTTATATTAAACATTGTCGTTTTCTAATCCGCAGTGTTGTTTTCTCTCGTGGCATCGTTTTTAGCCAAACAACACCATCCTAAATAATCGTTAAGAATATTTATTAATTAAATCGGCCATCACTGTTGACCTGCAGTCAAAATCGTGTGTTGACCAACAACATCGTTAGCGCCAAAACGCTCCGTTTGCTTTTTCTCCACGACATTGTTATTTATTAAACAATGTCGTTTCCTTGTCTGCGGTGTTGTTGATACCTCTTGCGGCATCGTTTTCAACTAAACGATACCGTCCTAAATAATCGTTAAAAATATTTATTAATTAAGCAGGCCATCACTGTTGACCTGCAGTCAAACTCGTGTGTTGACCAACAACATCGTTAGCGCCAAAACGGCTTCGTTTGCTTTTCCTTTTTCGACATTGTTTTTTATTTTAAACACTGTCGTTTGCTAGTACAACGGTACCGTTGGGCCTACTCGCGGTATAATTTTTAATTAAACCACACCGCCTAAGATAATAAAAAAAATACCAACGCATTAAACTGCCGAGATTTTACGCGTTGGGCTAGCCAGATTTTCGTCCAATCACTTACCCGATATGGTTTTTAATTAATCGGCCTCGCTTATCAAGGCCTCTCGCGGTATCGTTTTCTCATCCGCGGTATCGTTTTACCCATCCGCGATGCCGCTTATCTCCACGCGGTATCGCTTCTCCCCTTCCAACAAGGAATAAAAAAAATCCTTTTCCAACAGCAACACTAACCGTGCGGCCCACATCTTGTTTTTCGATAAACAGTGTCGTTTCAAGTGTCGCGGTACCGCTGAGCTTACTTGCGGTATCGTTTTAACTCTCGGCAATGCCGCTCAACTCCAAACGACACCGTTTTTTTTATCCGCGGTATCGAATTAAATGCCTAGATTAATTAATGTGGCATTTAATTCAGGCCAAATTAATTTTAGGTGTCAACACCAATCGACTGTACAATAGTATTTATACAGCAAGGCATAGTAGATAGGGTTTCATCTCTACTCAAGACTAAGGTACTACGTATGGAAGTGGCCATGCATGGGGCCGACTCTATATCGACGTGGGCTGACGCGGAAGTGGGCTGGAGGCCTGGTGAGATGACTCGGCCTAATAATCACCAGTACGAAAAGAGTCACCTTGAGAGAATTGCTCTCTAAGTTCATTCTAGGCTCCAAATCCAATGGCAGTAGTGATGTAGAGAATACCGTCTGCAATCGTTGGATTGACAAACCTCTAGATCCAGTTAAGTATCAGCTTGTTGTAGCGGTTTTTATTGTGTATTTTTTGTGCTTTTCTTTTTGTTTTCTCAGCTTGTGCCTGCAGGGGAGGCCTCCTACTCCTAGCGGTGCTACCTCTTAGCTTTTCTGGCTGTTTGGTTCAGCTCTTTGAACTACTCTGATTTTGTTTCGGGCAAGGTTGTTAAATCGGATTAAGTCATCAAGCCGATTTGACAAGGGGTTTGAAGTTTAAAGGTCGGATCGGGGTTCGACCGGTTTTGAAAAGAGAAGCAAAAAATCAAGGATAAAGCAGCATATTCTTTCACCATTCACCACTTTTCACCATAAAGTTCCCAAGTTTTGGATTTGAGAGCTCAAATTTACTATAATGTTCTAACAAATATACTCGGTAAAAACTAAAAAGAACAGACGAGAACCTACTAGACTGCCCCTTTTGCATTCTATATAGCCACTGTGCTCCGTCAATTCTCCATGCCACGTTGAGCAATCAATCAATTGATCTGAAACAAAATCTGCTCCATCACTTCTTCCAAGCTTCAATCAATTGATCTCTCATCAGAACTATGTCGTTGATTCCAAGTTTCTCCGGAATCAACGCGGGAGCACCGCCTTGGACCTGTTTACAGCTATGGATTCTTGGGATCCATTTAGGGATTTCCCTCTCAATCTGCCCTCATCGTCTCTAGTTCCCGGGGGAGAATACGTCGGCATGCTCCAGATCAGTGGGAAGAGGCACGCTGAGAGGGAGGCGAGGAGTTGGCATCATGGCGGGGGGAGCTGGGTTCGAGGCGACGGCCAGGGAGCAGCGTCGCTGTACGGGAGAGGCGCCAATCGACAGCGACGAAAGGAGGAGGAGATTTGGGAGGATGTCGATCGACGACGACTACTTCTTGGCTGCTTTGCTCCATCGCTCGACTCGGCGGAAGGGAAGGGCGAACTTGGATTTAGGGTTACAAAAAATGTCGTCGTTTTATCACTAGCCAGTAGTCGGATAGTCTGGTCTGACCCCGACTTTGACAGACTTTGATCGATTGTCGGCTAGCTCAGAATATGGCTGGCGCTGGTCCCTTTTGTGCCCGGTTCCGACACAACCCGGTCGGACCGGCAGGTTAGAGTCGGGTTTGACAACCTTGGTTTAGGGTAACATCTTTGTCCGGCCCGAACTTTTTGTTTATTTAATATCTTGGCCAATTTTTTTACAATATAACATCATGGTCTAAACTATTACTGAACTTTACTTATATTGTTGGCCGTTACGTTTGGCTGTCAACAATGTTGCCTACCAGTCAACCTACCTTATCACTATTTAATCAATATAAAAATACTTTAAAAATCCTAATTTGTAAATATTTTGTAATTTTGAGTTATTATAATTTAAATTATAAAGTGATTAACAACAACAACAAAAAAACCCAACCATCCCAGGCTCCCAAATCCTTCTTCCCCGATATCCGACCTTCCCCCTCCTCTCGACCACCGTTCAAATTAGCGGCAACAACCAATAGGGTCTCTTGGAAAATCAGAGAAACATTGATTCCTCCAAATCCAAGTGGTGGAAATGGGAAGGCTCCGGATACTATAACAACACCAATACTGTTGTTATAGTGACAACAAGGCTAAAAGAGTAAACTGACATAATATCTAACCAATAAGAAAATTAATTAAAATACATTTATCAATCCCTACTTATCAAATCGCGTTTCTTCTCTCATCCCGTCTCGAATTTTGCTCTGCCAGTCCGGCAACTCCGCCGATCTCTCCCCATCATAGCTCTATCACAATGGCAGCGGCGGCTGCTGACTAGTTTTCCGACCGAATCTCGTTTCTCCTCCGACTCCTCCGCCCCGCTTCTTCCTTGCCGGCGCCGGGAAATAGACTCTGCAATTTCTTCTCGTCGATGGCCTCCTCTGTTTTAGATCTCGTGACGCTGGCGCCTCTCATCGTCATTGACCTACACGCCCAACGCCGACAACGTCGCTGCGGGGAGGATTTGCTTCTCTCATGGCGGTTGGAAGGAGTTAGTTTTGGTGTTGGAACATCCGCTGATTGGAGGGAACCGACGAAGTCGCAAGCGGGCCGTAAGATGAAGATTCTGCCATACAAGGAAAGGAACGGCCCAGTTCCTGATGGGGATTTTCACGCCGGAATCAATGCTGTACACCGTCAAGGTAGGCCCCCGCCGCGGCGTGGGAAGAAATTTGAGTGGCCGCAGGAATGATTTTATCTCCACCGGAAATCCCGAATGATGATAATGATCCTTGGATTTTTTCTTATACAAACCTTTTCTATCTTCCACTATCGCACATTTGATGGTCAGATGGCAGAGAATGAAAGAAACAGAACAATGAGTCATTTCTTTGACTTTTCCACAATCTTACCAATCAGTCGGTCCGTTTATTAGCTAGCAAATAGTTAGGTTTGGTTGGTCCTTATGTTATTAGCTATCTTAATTATGATCAGGTAGCATACGATGCTGAGGATGGTTGGTATTAGCTAGTTTTAATCGTTACTCCCTTAGTGTTCATTGTTTGTAAACTTCTTACTTTGTCATTTTTGGGAATGGTTGGTATTAGCTAGCTTTAATCGTTACTCCTTTAGTGTTCATTGTTTGTAAACTTCTTACTTTGTCATTTTTGGGATTTGGGTTTTCTGGTGTGATTGCTAATTGGATGCGTAAGCCGGTCTCTTAGTTAATGCATTTCAGCCGTACAAATCTTTGTATATGTTCCAGTAACAAATATCTTATATTGTTGTTGCTTTGCGAGCACACTAGAAACCCCCTAATACAAACCACAAACACGGTAAAGCAAACCAAACACGTCCTAATGCAGACCACAAATATATTAAAACAAACCAGAAACCTCGCAAACCAAACCACAAAAGTTTCGAAAGCACACTAGAAACTTCTTAATGCAACCAGAAACCTCCTAATGCATACCACAAATCTCTTAAAACAAACTAGAAACCTCACAAAGCAAACCACAGAATTTTCAAAAACACACCAGAAACCTCATAATGCAAATCACAAACACGATAAAGCAAACCACAAAAACAAACCAGAAACGTCCTAATGCAGACCAAAAATCTATTAAAACAAACCAGAAACCCCGCAAAGCAAACCACAGAATTTTAAAAAACACACCAGAAACCTCATAATGCAAACCAGAAACACGATAAAGCAAACCACAAAAACAAACCAGAAACGTACTAATGCAGACCAAACATCTATTAAAACAAACCAGAAACCCCGCAAAGCAAACCACAGAATTTTAAAAAACACACCAGAAACCTCATAATGCAAACCACAAACACGATAAAGCAAACCACAAAAACAAACCAAAAACGTCCTAATGCAGACAAAAAATCTATTAAAACAAATCAGAAATCCCGCAAAGCAAACCACAAATTTTTTGAAAGCAAACCAGAAACTTCTCAATGCAAACCACAAACACGATAAAGCAAACCAGAAACTTCTTAATGCAAACCACAGAGATGATAAACCAAACCACAAAAGGCATACAAAAATACGAGAAACCAAACCATAAATCTCACAATGCAGACCATAACATCCGCTGGTCGTTGACCGTTGACCGTACTCCGATGACCGTCAGTGAGCAGATTCCGACGCCGATAGGCATATTCCGGCCCCGATGACTATATTCCGACGCCGGTGAGCATATTCCGGCGACTGTGAGCATATTCCGGCGACAAAATAGCATATTCCGGTGACCGCCGACCAGATTCCGGCGACCAAAATTTTGGACCGAAAATAAAAAATATATGTTATTTAATTTATTATTATTATTATTTGAATATATTTTTCATAATGACAATTATACTACCCCTGCTTTGATTTTATACTAGGTCAACTCATCTAATAAAAAGTCATCACAATCCTAACTTCCTATTGGTTGAAGACTAGTGTTATTACAATAACAACACAAGGGGTGTTGTTATAGTATCTAGTCCCAAATAAGAACGCAATTATGCACATTGGAGGCATGCATATGTTTGTCCTAAAACAATAAACAAGTATTTTTATTCAACCGTACTACGTACAGAGCATAAGTCCGGTTGGATCTGCCGGTGCTCGAAATAAAATATCAACAACGTGTATTTTTATTCAACCGTACTATGTACAGAGGCATTAGTCCGGTCGGATCCTTAGTCCTCACACACGTACACTATAAATTAACCCCAATCCAAGCCAAGGGAATACCTACACTACATACTCACCCACTTAATTTCTTTGCCAGACTGTATCCGGGGGAAAAAAGGCAGCAATAAATGGAAAGTATTAAGGCTATATTTTCCCTGTTGGTTCTTCTTTGCTCTTTTGCATCATTCCAGCATTTGGATGCTGCAGTTTCACACGAGGACAACAATCCACAAATGGTCACCACTATTAACAGGAAGTTGTTGCCTTATGATTCAATGGGTAAGTTCTTTCCAAGAACCCTTCTTCTCTTTTTCTCTACCGAAGCTATAGAAACAAAATGAGATTTAAAATGGTGGGTTGATATAAAAAAATATATATTTCATTTGCATGTTGTTCGGTTAGAGTACATATAGCATGTTAATTCATGACTAGTTTATTTCATTTTCATGTAGCTTTGAACGAGAAGAATCAAAAGATGATCACCATCATCACCGCCACCAGAAAGTTGCTTGGGGTGGATTGGGGCAAGTCCTCCACCTTTGACTCTCTCTCCTCTTTCTCAGGAAAAATATTTTTTTCTACGCTAAGATAATAAAAAGATCGACCACTAAAGGCTGTTTCTGTCGATGTTTTTTTGGTTATGAAAGCATTTTTCAATTATTCTATAACTCATTCAAACAAGGTATATTATTGAATCTCTCATCCACCCAAAGTTTGAGCTATTAGAGGATAAAATGAAGCTTAGTTTAGATGGCTTATATCTAAGCCTAAATGCCTTTTTTAGTTCAAACGAAATCAATTAGACATTAGTATATTACTTAGCTTACCAAGATTTGAATATTCATGACCTTTCTTCCAACCAAATATTCCGTCACATCATGTCAACATTTAGTTGTTGTCCATTCTAAGTCGTGGGTTATTGAGAGTAGTTTTAAATTACAGCATATATCATTCTTACTTAAATCTTTCCCTTATATTTTTGGTCAATTTGTTTTCCTGAACTTTATTCATAATGTGACCAGCAGGGGTCCATTGTGGGAAAGATAATTGTTGTGATTTAGATACGTGGGGGGCATGTTTTTGCTGTTGTAGCGAACCGGGTTGTCATTTTACTGGTATTGTTAGCTCAAATGGAACCACCGACGGTTCATTGCATGGTCAGTACTCTTGTTATATAATTAGTTATGTATATTTGTTTTCTTATAAATATTGAATTTGATATGTCCGCATTACAGCGAAGGAATGGAATAGACAAGATAACTCTACTTCTGATGAGAACACAAAAGACTAGATCAAGAAAAGTGAAAATTGGAGACACAATGACTTGAATATTGAGGATATTAACCGGGTTTCTTTCATCCAAAAAGGCCGTTTTTCACTTTTGCTGTAGTTGTATCACCATATAGTAACTAGAATACATGATGTACCACAAAACTCCTAGTTTTAATTTTTTGCTGCGTTCATATTTTCACTTTTGGCTAGTGTAACATTTCAACTTAAGGGTTTACTTTTGATTGATAATAAAATTATGGGTGTGCCTACGGTGACATGCATGTCACGGTGACTTGCACTTTCCGGTCGACTTTAGTTAGGATTAGGCCGACCTCATTTAGAATTCGGTCGACCTCATATAAGATCAGGTCGACCTAATCTGTTGTTTCAGTGTATAAACAGTTCATGGTGCCTACTTTGGATATTCATATCATACAATTGGCTAGATGGAAATTGAAGACTAATGACTTGTTTTAAAGCTGGAGTGTCCTTCTACATATTGAAGTGGAAGAGAGCTCGATAGGAAGTCCAGAAGAACATTTTTGAACCTCATCAAAAGGCTATGCCAAAACTGGGAAACTGCCTGGAAATGGCTAAGTCTGGAAATGTGTTTGTGAAGCCTATTTTGGAGCTTAATTCGAGAAGCATGAATGCGAGTCGAGTCCAGGAGCCTCTACCACGTTAAATTAGGTATGTTTTTATACAAATTTAAGGCATTGGATGAAATATTGGATATCTGTAAGGCTTCAAACAAAAGGGTCGAAGTTGCTACGAAGGCTGTTTTTCTGGCAGACTTCGAGCACAAGCAAGCTGCCAGAAAAACATCCTTCGTAGCAACTTCGAGCCTTTTGTTTGAAGCCTTAAAGATATTAAATCTTTCATCCAATGCCTTTCCTTTGTACAATAAAATACGTAATTTGACGTGGTTGAGGCCCCTGGACTTGACTCGCATCCATGCTTCTCAAATTGAGCTCCAAAGTAGTCTTGACAAACACGTTGCCAGACTTAGCCATTTTCAGGCAGTTTCCCAGTTTTGGCATAGCCTTTTGGTCAGGTTCAAAATTGGTCTTCTGACTTTCTATTGAGCTCCCAAGTACTTTAATGTGTAGAAGGACACTTCAGCTTCAAAAGAAGCCTTTAATCTCCAATTTCCATCTAGCCAATTGTAAGATATGAATCTCCAAAGTAGGCACCATGAAACAGTTTTTACACAGAAACAATAGATTAGCTCGACCTAATCCTATATGAGGTCGACCGAAAAATACATGTCATCGTAGCAAAGTCCTACAACTATGGGTTGGATAAAACAAGCAGGCATCATAACTCAAGTCGGACCATAATGCAACAAGACCTAAACGTTGATTGTTCGCGGTGGTGATTAATTCATGAGCTAAGAATGACCATATGCAATTAGACCTAAGCGTTTTTTTGTGTTGTGACCCCATTCACTTACTCCCCCTCACTCTCAACTCCATCGTCGGCATTCTGGAGCAGTGATCATCGGGACTACGTCTGAATCAAGAGTACCAAAACTTGAATGTCTACAATAATATAACTGACTATTCAAATTCTTTTTCCTTTAAACCATCTATTAAGTATCACAACTTGAAACAATTCGTGTATGGTTCCATGTTATATATCATCTTCCAATTGATTTTTAATTTTATCTTCTTTGAAATCCTCTTCTATTGTTTCACGTGCTAATTAAAACTGATTACAAAATAAAAAACCTAAAGTTTTCACCAATTATGTGTAGTTAATTCATTTGGTTGTTTTTTTCTTTAGACCGTTGCTCAGCGACTATGATTCTTTCGCTCATATTGATGTATATTTACCAATATGGGCTAAAAGGCTGTGATTTTTTTTCCTTATATTTATGCTACATTTTGCCATCTAAATTATTTTTCCCCGTTAA